TACGCAGTGCATGGCCACCACATTTTTGAAAACAAGAGCAGCATTCCTATAACACCATTTAAGGAATGTATGATTGATGGAAGGAAATCACCAAATGCTCACAGGAGTTTTGATTTGAGAGTCACGTATCAATGTAATCAGTGGTAAAGCTAAGTATGTAAACTTCATCCAGTCACTACTTGTAAGCATATCCTTCCCACACAAAGTGGATGTAATTTATCACAAAAAAAGAAAGAATTACTCTTAAAAGCAACATTCAATATCAGTAACTACATGTAAAAGTACATCACGTGCAAAGTTGAATTACCTTTCCAGTCTTTGACATCTGCTAAACTCCTTGGACTACGGGTTATTTCACAAGTTAGTGTTACTGAAGTTAACTCCTTACTGATCTCTTCAACTTTGGAGTTGGACTTATCAAGCCACCTTGAAATCAGCTGATCAACTACACCCTCGCAGACACAATGTATATAATCCACCACTGTTCCTCTGACAACGTCATATAGTGGGAGACCAAATCCCCAAGACAAACCAACAATTCCTTCAACTGCAAACTAAAGAAATTAACATTATTTAATGCAGGGTTATCATTAATTTTTTAGTCACCTGTAGCCTTATTTTCCACACTCATAGCAAATTTGTTACTTTGTGGGTGAATTCTCTAAACAACAAGGAATTTCCCCCGTAGCATCAAGGGAAAATCAAGCATACTCAGCCGTAACAGGTGTTACGGCTTACGGCTCTTAATGACAGCCCTGTTTAATGCATCAGGAATCTTTATAAGTAACACCACTTAAAATGATTGATTGTCATAAGTAAATTGTTCTTTACTACTACTTTACTACTACAGATTCATGCTTGTATCACTTTCACTGTACCTAGCTCTATATAGAAAATAAGATTTATACATGCACATTTTAGTTCAAAATGAAAATTACATTTCTTTTCCCTTGACTTCTTTGCCTTAATGCTTCAAGGGCTTGCTCTTTGACCTCATGTGTTCTTAACCCAGCATGTCCTGTTGTGGCTGNCTAAAGAAATTAACATTATTTAATGCAGGGTTATCATTAATTTTTTAGTCACCTGTAGCCTTATTTTCCACACCCATAGCAAATTTGTTACTTTGTGGGTGAATTCCCTAAACAACAGGGAATTTCACCTGTAGCATCAAGGGAAAATCAAGCATACTCAGCCGTAACAGGTGTTACAGCTTACGGCTTAACACTACTTAAATGATTGATTGTCATAAGTAAATTGTTCTTTAGTACTACTTTACTACTACTACAGATCCATGCTTGTATCACTTTCATTGTACCTAGCTCTATATATAGCAAATAAGATTTATAAATGCACGTCTTAGTTCAAAATGAAAATACATTTCTTTTCCCTTGACTTCTTTGCCTTAATGCTTCAAGGGCTTGCTCTTTGACCTCATGATGTGTTCTTAACCCAGCATGTCCTGTTGTGGCCGCAAAAGCTTTGTTGAAAGGGTGCACATGGCACCTT